AGTAGTATTAATAATAGTAGTAGTATTAATAATAGTAGTAGTAGTAGAAATAGTAGTAGTATTAATAATAGTAGTAGTAGTATTAATAGTAGTAGTATTAATAATAGTAGTAGTAGTATTAATAATAGTAGTAGTAGAATTAATAATAATAGTAGTAGTAGTAGTAGTAGTATTAATAGTAGTAGTATTAATAATAGTAGTAGTAGTAGTAGTAGTAGTAATAGTAGTAGTAGTAGTAGTATTAATAATAGTAGTAGTAGAATTAATAATAATAATAGTAGTAGTAGTAGTAGTAGTAGTAGTAGTAGTAGTAGTAGTAGTAGTAGTATTAGTAGTAGTAGTAGTAGTATTAATAGTATTAGTGTATAGCAGTGTTTAATTGAAACACGTGTTTTTCTCCTCAGAGTGTATGAAATAGAAAAGCGAACGAAGGTCAAGACTTTGACCCCTTTCCCCAACTTTGAGACAGCCTGCTGGTACGTGGGACGGCACTTTCTTGAGCGCTTCAGAAGTGAGTTTTAAATTACTTTGATCTGTTTATGTAATTAATTTACACTCATGAACTATATTCCTGTTTAACTTGACGTTTTTTCAAAGTATGAATTGTAGTAATGGCATCCTGTGGAGACGGCTGCATGTCTGCTGTGCAGATGAGGAATTGTATGTTTTATCATTTCAGTCATGAAGTCAGTAAATCACTGAGGTCACAGATAATTAAAGTTTTGTCTCGCGCAGAATCACTCGGTCCATGACAAGTCCGTGTTTAAACTTCCCTCAGCTGGCGTGCACTTGCTCGTTGTGTTTGCTGAACGTCACCTTTAAAGATGGACGTTTACCAACAACGTACGTCGGTGATTTAAAGATCAACTTTCATTCTGTCACTTTCATGCTGCTGCTCTTTCTGTGTCCCTCACTACTTCACAGTAGAGCTGCATTCGGGCCTAATAAATCCAGCCCAGACCGGCCCGACCTGCGCATTAATCACATTATAACAGCCTGGACCTGCTCTGTTCCGGGTCGGTCCGGGCCGGGGTCAGGTTAGAAATGACAGTTCTTCTTTGAGGTTCGTTTTTCGTGGACTCGCTCTTTCGTGGTTTTTCAAAGTGACTGGACACGACGCAGAAATGGCTGTTTGATGGATGAGCCACACGATCCGCAGGGATTGTTTCTTTAAAATAAATTATTTTAAACCAAAGTATGTCACATCGTAAGATCGTCATAATCACCAAATATAATAACAGTGTTAAAAGTTATTCTTCATTATTTTATAACTTCTATGTTCAGTTGTTTCAGTGTCACTGATCAAGAAGATTTGTGCTCCGTGCTGCAGAGCTGAAGCTGCGTGACATCCTGTCATGTCCTGCTGCACTTCTCTTCTCTACACTTTAATTTAAATACTGCAACATTTTAAATACACAATCCATGTAGCATGGATTGTGTATTTAAAATGTTGTTCAAATTTAAATTGTTTGTTTACACAAAAGGAGGGAGATTGGGAGGTGCTGAGTGTGATCTCAGCAGAGAGCAGAGAGCAGAGAGCGTGACATGCCGTGCTCTTTTAGAGCCTTTACACTTTAGAGACATTGTTCAGAATATTGTAAGAGGGTGGGCAGGGTTTATAAAGTTTAATATATATATATATAAATGCTAAAATAAACTAGTACTGATGGCCACTACTCATGGTGGCCAAGACCACCACTGGCCCCCCCTGACTTGGCCATTGCACCTGGTCATGAATAAAATGTGTCCAGTGATCAGGATCTGTACCTGCGCTGCCTTAGACCAGAAAAACACGAAACAACTGCCTCTATAGCATATAGCACTGCTTCTCTGTTATTCTCTGTTGCTCTCCGCCACGACTGTAAATAGTATAATTTGTCTTTGTTATAAATACACCTCTGTATAACATTGTGCCCTTATTAACATTAAATAAATAAATAAATAAATAAATATAGATCAACTGACAACAAAGATTATCAACATTATTAACAGTGTTGTATAAAACACTTTGAGCTACAAAACAAAAATGAATAAAACAATTTGTGCTGATTTTTGAAATCAAAATGAGGAAGTCAGGATTAATGGCTACAATGAGCACGTGTTGCAGTGCACGGCTTTTAGAAACATGATCCTGCAGCTCTCAGCTCCTGCTCAATGTTTAACTGGACCTGGACCTGGACCTGGACCTGGTCTTCAGAGCAGCAACAGCAGAGAAGCTGCAAAGAGCGAGCGGGTTGGCAGGTGGGGGGTGTCCAGGGGAACGCGCTCACAATAGAAGAACCTGACAAAGTGACATAAAATATATTTGTTAGCAAAGAAAAGAGTCCTAACATTCGTTAAACATCTGTTTTTACAACAAATAAAAAACATCAGTCGTGCTTTGACAGTCGATAAAACTAAAAAAATTGTTAAAGAGGAAGAGGGGCAGGAAACGCTCTCGCTATACTGTCGCATGCGTGCTGTGGGTGACGAGCGTCACCTGCAGAGTTTCTCAGCAGCAGAGGGAGCGACACGGTTCCATCACGGCTCCCCAAACAACAAGACATGTTTGTTCATAACTTTATTAGTCACACTGAGAGTTGACGGAGTTTAGCAAACAGTTGCAGAACGCACCCTGACACAATGAGATGGTGAGAAAAACAAAAAACAAACTTGCTCCCTGCTGCAAAATGTTCCCCGGGGTCACATGCCCCCCCAGAAGATCAACATCATCAGACCAGGACTCTGCGGTCTACACTCATCTCCAGGCCAGAGGTCACTCTTTCAGTGATGAAGATGTTCACATCCTGGACAGAGAGGAACGATGGTTTGAGAGAGGAGTAAAGGAGGCCATCTTTGTGAAAAGAAATCGTCCATCATTAAACAGGGGTGGAGCCTCCAGGTTCAACTGTCCCCCTCTTACAATGCTGTGATTGCTAGTATCACTCAGCCCTCTGTGAACAGTAAACAGCCATCAGGTGCTAATGATCCATTGTTAGGCTGATGGTCCTTCTTGATCATGTGATCAGCTGGTTCTGGTTGTCAGCAGCAAACTGGTTGATCCACTCTGAGAAGGTGCTATTTAAGAGACTGAGCTGAAAACAGCACCTCAGACTGAAGAAGTCCTTTGGATGAAGGACGAAACGTTTCTATATTTTTTTGCTTTGTTTTTTGTTTTTTTGAATGTCCAGAGGACCAGATTTAACTTTTTTAGATTGTTTTACCTGGATTATTGAGCAGCATCAGGATACAGTCCATTTACCATTTTCGGTTGCTCCAGGCAAGCTGGAAAAAGTGCCAACTATGGCAAGCCGATTGTGTCATTAATGACCACTTTTACCTATTACATGACACAACGGCATGCCATAGTACTAGAGTGCCATCTAGTGGCTGAAAATGGTAGTTTTCAATATTTTCAGTCAGAATGAAAACGGTCATATCTCACACAGAAATTGGTTTATAAATATGGGGGAAATCCATAAATACGTTGCTTCGATGTGTAAGTCACAGAAATGATGTAAAAACACATGACTTATAGGCCGAAAAATACAGTACTTGAAACGTACGTACGTACGTATTAAGTACGTAGTCTTTTTTGTTTTTTACACACTGAGCGTCTTGACTGCATCAAACTTTACTTTTATCAGTAAATATCCTCTGCACCGTAGAACCGTAGCATAGCAGGCTATCCAAAGAAATCTACTAGACAGGTGAAACAGAAAAGTTGTCTTCACAAACCCTACATACTACATGAGCATTACCCTGACAGAATGTAATAAAAATGTTGAAGCACTTTCATTTCACCTTTTGTTTAACAAGGTATACACACTAAGAACACATTCTCATTTGGAGTGCTGTCCTGGACTTGTTGAGTACATCATGTGTCCTTAGCAAAAAACAAACAAAACCGATGCTTCAGAAACTAATGTAACTAGTTCTCCTCCTAAATAAACTGAAACGTCTTCCTTTTCGTCCAGCTGTTTCCTCTTCAGGTCCAGTCATCCTCCTGTCCTCCGCCCTCACCCCTGCTGTCTCCAAACCGTACAGCTGCTTCCAGTAATAAGCTGTGAAGTCCTCTTAGATCACACAGTGTCTACACCCAGATTGTCCTGTAGATTTGTTGCTATGGCAACAAGGAGCAGCATCCACCTATAACTGACATTTGCTGATATTATGATCAACAAACTGAACTCTTCCATCTCACAAAGAGTGTTTTGGTAGAAACAAAAAGTTCAACAGTGACACACCTCTGCCAAAGGACATAGAAACAAACATATTTTAGTGTTAATATTAATCCTAAGATCTAAAGCTGAAGAAACCGTTGCAAAGAGAGACCCTGAGTGAGCTGTGTGCGCTCCCGTTGCACCGAGCCCTCGGTGCGCTCTGATAGTGAGAGTATGGTCCCGTGTGCATGTCGGACATGTACTCCAAACACATCAACGTTAAATATGTTTAAATTTAGTTATAAAAGTCATGGGGAGGTCAGATCGAGGGGGTGGAGGTGATGATGCATCTGCTTCTTGGCAGCAGTGAGTCGGTCACTTACGAACATGAACAGTCATTTATAAAGTAGAAGCCATTTCCTGCATTCTGGTGTATTTTCACAGGTTGTTGGACATGTACCGTACGTTTACCTGAGCCCCCAGGCTCCTCCTCAGGCTGTCCATGGCAGCCGCCTGTGGGCTCCTGCCGGGTACAACAGCCTGGTTAGCCTGGCTCTCACCCACACCTCTCACTGCTCCAGTACCATCTCCACTGCAATGTGCTTCAATTCTCTGTCGTTTAGTTGTAAAATAAAAAGACTTTGTTTTAAATGAAAGTAAATTGGACTGTCTTTTCGACATTTTGATCACTGTTATTTTGACAAATTGGCGCTGTTGTTTTGATACGTGATGTAGCCTCCGTAACGTGATTACCCATCAAACATTTCTCTCGTTGTATTTTTAATAATCAACATTTTATTAATAGCCTACTTAAACTGCAAAATCAGTTTTACAGTTTAGTTGTGCTGTTTAACTATATGTTTGTGTTTTTAATTAAATTGTCTGTGACTGAACTTTTAGGGGCGGAGATATTTTTAATGGTAGGAGTGGAAATGCTTACTCGAAGCGGCAGCTCTGATGTGATGTTAGGAAGCTCAGTAAGTGTCTGTTGTGTTTAAAATTAGTGTTTATGTAATTATTTTCAGATTACATATCCAATATAGGTTTTATTTATTCAAGGCAGCCAAATTTGTTCATGACTTCATTATTAGTAAGCCTGAGTTATCAGATCCAAGCAAACAATTACTGGAATGCACCCTGCCAAGATAAGAGAGTTCCAGGGTCCGGCTCAAATTAAGTGGTGGTTCTGATGGTAGGGTGTGCTGCAACATGGATAATGGGAGGGGATGCTAATACAGTATGCTAATAGTATGTTCTTGTTTTCAGGTATTGGTGCAGTTCTCTCGAAGTAAAAAGTCACTGTTGGTTCTGTGGTAACGGTTGAATGTGTTTGTGTAGGTTTACATCGAGCCAATAAGCAGCCAGCTGCATACCTGATACATGGTGCCAAGATAATCAATGGAGCCTTCAGAGCTTGGACTAAAAAACAGGTAAACGTGCTCCAAATGTTCCACACCTTCTCGTGTTTTTGACTACACTATTGTGAAAGTTTAGTCTTTTTTATTATTTTTTTATTGTAACAGGCCCTGCTGGAGCATGAAGATGAGCTTCCAGAGAACATGAAACCATCGCAGCTCATTAAGGATCTGGCCAAAGAGATCAGACTTTCAGAGGTGGTTTTTAAGTCTTGTCTGTTAGTTCTAAACGTTTCTCTAAAGTGGCAAAAAAACAACCCACAAATGTCTTTTTACATTTCTTTCCTTCCAAAACACATCTTACATACATTTTTAAATCTTAGTTTATGTACTTGTAGAAACTGTAACAAACAAAACAAACAGAAAATGTAAATGTCAACATTAAATGTTGTCTTTTACTTTCAATGCATTGAACATTTCTGCCAGCATACACTAAGGTTAGGAAACCAGCTTTTTTTTCTTTCAACGGTTATTCAATTGGGGGTTAATTTTCTTCAGAAAGATTTATTAGTAAATATTAATGTACATTAAATACTAATGTACACACTGCTCTCACCCACTTGGAGGACTCCTATGTCCGTATGCTCTTTGTGGACTTCACATCCGCCTTCAACACCATGATCCCCCAAACCCTGATGGACAAACTATCCACACTAGGACTAAGCCCCTCCATTTGCAACTGGGTCCTAGACTTTTTAACAAACAGGCCACAGTCTGTGAGGAGCCACAACTTCTCCTCCACCATAACCCTCAGCACTGGCTCTCCTCAGGGATGTGTGTTGAGCTCTCTCCTGTTCACTCTGCTCACGTATGATTGTGCACCTAACCATCCAGGCTGTCATATTGTAAAGTTTGCAGATGATACAGCTGTGGTGGGATGCATCACGAACAATGATGAGTCCAGCTACAGGCAGGAGGTGGAACACCTGGAGAGCTGGTGCAGGAAGAACAACCTTCACATCAATGTGAAGGAGATGGTCGTGGACTTCAGAAGGAACAAACACACCTACTCCCCTGAACATAAGAGGATCTGTGGTGGAAGTGGTCTCCAGCTACAAGTACTTGGGTGTACACATGAATGACAACCTCAGCTGGAGCAACAACACCACCAGCCTGATCAAGAAAGCTCATCAGAGACTCTACTTCCTCAGGCGGCTGAGACGAGCTGGTCTGGAAGCTCAGTCCTCACCTCCTTCTACAGGTGTGCAGTGGAGAGCATCCTGTGCTCCAGCATCAGCGTGTGGCATGGAGGCTGCACAGCTGCAGAAAGAAAAGCTTTGCAGAGAGTGGTGAAGGCTGCACAGAAGATGTTGGAGTCAGTCTCCCCACCATCACAGACATCTACACCTCCAGATGCAGGAAGAGGGCCACCTGCATCATGAAGGACCCCACTCATCCAGGACACACACTTTTTGCCCCGCTCCCCTCAGGAAGGAGGTTGAGGAGCATTAAGTGTAGAACCACTAGACTGAGGAACAGCTTCTACCCTGAGGCTGTTAGACTCATAAATATCTAACCACAATATTCATCCATCCATCCATTTTCTTCCACTTATCCGGGGTCGGGTCGCGGGGGTGGGTAGCAGCTTAAGTAGGGAGGCCCAGACTTCCCTCTCCCCAGCCACTTGGGCCAGCTCCTCCGGGGGAATCCCGAGGCGTTCCCAGGCCAGCCGAGAAACATAGTCCCTCCAGCGTGTCCTGGGTCTTCCTCTGGGTCTCCTCCCGGCGGGACGTGTCCGGAACACCTCACCAGGGAGGCGTCCAGGAGGCATCCTAAACAGATGCCCAAGCCACCTCAACTGGCTCCTCTCGACGTGGAGAAGCAGCGGCTCTACTCTGAGTCTCTCCCGGATGATCGAGCTTCTCACCCTATCTCTAAGGGAGAGCCCAGACACCCTGCAGAGAAAACTCATTTCGGCCACTTGTATCCGAGATCTCGTTCTTTCGGTCACAACCCAAAGCTCATGACCATAGATGAGGGTAGGAACGTAGATCGACCGGTAAATTGAGAGCTTTGCCTTTTGACTCCGCTCTCTCTTCACCACGACAGACCTGTACAGCGCCTGCTTCACTGCAGATGATGCACCTATCTGCCTACCGATGTCACACTCCATTTTTCCCTCATTCGTGAACAAGACCCCAAGATACTTGAACTCCTCCACTTGGGGGCAGGACCTCCTCCCTGACCCGGAGAGGGCACTCTACCCTTTTCCGGCTCAAGACCATGGCCTCGGATTTGGGGGAACTGATCTTTATCCCAGCTGTGTCGCACTCGGCTGAAAACCACTCCAGCGAAAGCTGTAGATCACGATCTGATGAAGCCAATAGGACTACATCATCTGCAAAAAGCAGAGACGCGATCCTAAGGCCACCAAAATGGATCCCCTCAACACCTTGGCTGTGCCTAGAAATTCTGTCCATAAAAGTTATGAACAGAATCGGTGACAAAGGGCAACCTTGGCGGGGTCCAACTCTCACCGGGAACAAGCCCGACTTACTGCCGGCAATGCGGACCAGGCTCTGACACCGGTCATACAGGGACCTAACAGCCCATATCAAATGGCCTGGTACCCCATTTTCCCAGAGTACCCCCCACAGGGTTCCCCGAGGGGCGTGGTCGAACGCCTTCTCCAAGTCCACAAAGCACATGTAGACCAGTTGGGCAAACTCCCACTCACCCTCCTGGACGCTGCTGAGAGTGTAGAGCTGGTCTAGTGTTCCACGACCAGGACGAAAACTGCACTGCTCCTCCTGAATCCGAGGTTCGACTATCTGACGGACCGTCCTCTCCAGAACCCCCGAATAGACCTTACCAGGGAGACTTAAGAGTGTGATCCCCCTGTAGTTGGAACACACTCTACGGTCCCCCTTTTTGAATAGGGGGATCACCACCCCAGTCTGCCAATCCAGGGGAACTTCCCCCAATGTCCACACAATATTGCAGAGTCGCGTAAGCCAACACAACCCTACAACATCCAGAGCCTTAAGGAACTCCGGGCGAATCTCATCCACCCCTGTGGCCCTGCTACCGAGGAGATTTTTAACCACCTCAGTGACTTCAGCACAAGAGATTGGAGGGCCCAACCCAGAGTCCTCAGGCTTTGCTTCCTCAGTGGAAGATGTGCCGGTGGGATTGAGAAGGTCTTCAAAGTATTCCGCCCACCGACCCACGACATCCCGAGTTGAGGTCACCAGCACACCACCACTATAAACAGTGTTGATGGTGTACCGCTCCGCCCCTCTCTTCACCCGAGTGTCCAAGACATGTGGCCGCAGATCAGATGAGACGACAACAAAGTCGATCATCGAACTGCGGCCTAGGGTGTCCTGGTGCCAAGAGCACATATGGACACCCTTATGCTTGAACGTGGTGTTTGTTTTGGACAATCCATGACGAGCACAGAAGTCCAACAACAGAACACCACTCGGGTTCAGATCAGGGGGGCCGTTCCTCCCAACCACACCCCTCCAGGTCTCACTGTTATTGCCCACGTGAGCATTGACGTCCCCCCAGCAGAACAAGGGAGTCCCCAGGAGCTGCACTTTCCAGTACCCCCTCCAAGGACTCCAAAAAGGGTGGATAATCTGAACTGCCGTTTGGTGCATAAGCACAAACGACAGTCAGAACCCGTCCCCCCACACGTAGGAGGAGGGAGGCCACCCTCTCATTCACCGGGGTGAACCCCAACACACAGGCACCAAGATGGGGGGCAATAAGTATGCCCACTCCTGCTCAGCGCCTCTCACCAGGCGCAACTCCAGAGTGGAAGAGTGTCCACCCCCTCTCAAGGAAACTGGTTTCAGAGCCAGAGCCATACGTAGAGGTGATTCCGACTATTTCTAGCCGGAACCTCTCAACCTCACACACCAGCTCAGGCTCCTTCCCCACCAGTGAGGTGACATTCCACGTCCCAATAGCCAGCTTCTGTAGCCGAGGATCAGACCGCCAGGGTCTCCGCCCTCGGCCACCACCCATCCCACATTGCACCTGACCCCTTTGGCCCCTCCCACAGGTGGTGAGCCCATGGGAAGGGGGACCCACGTCTCCTCTTCGGGCTGTGCCCAGCCGAGTTCCATGGATAAAAGCCTGGCCACCAGGCGCTCGCCAGCATGCCCCACCTCCATGCCTGGCTCCAGAGTGGGGCCCCTGTGACCCACGTCCAGACGAGGGAACATCGAGTCCATTTAGTTTTCTCATCATAGGGATGTTTGGGCTGCACTTTGTCTGGTCCCTCACCTAGGACCTGTCTGCCTTGAGTGACCCTACTAGGGGCATGAAGCCCCTGACAGCATAGCTCCTAGGATCATTGGGACACTCAAACCCCTCCACCACGGTAAGGTGGCAGCCCAGGGAGGGGTCTAACCAGAATAATCACTGTGGAAAAAAAATCACTGTAATTCCACTTTGAGATGAGATGTGAATGGTAATAAAACCTACTTGAACTTGAACTAATGCAAAGAAAAATAAAATAGAAAGGTTTTTTTTTTTTTTTGCCTAATTAGACAGCGAACGGGCAGCAACGTGGCGTAACTTGTAGAGCTGCTGCCTTTCAGCGAGCAGGTCCCTGGTTCAAATCCCAGTCTGGTGGCCTTTCTGGATGGAGTTTGCATGTTCTCTTCGTGCATGCGTGGGTTTTCTCCGGGTACTCCAGTTTACTCTCACAGACCAAAAACATGCATGTTAGACTGATTGGTAACTCTAACTTGTCCCTAGGTGTGAGTGAGAGAGTGAATGGTTGTTTGTCTCTATGTGTCCCTGTGATGGACCTGTCCAGAGTGTCCCCCGCCCCTTACACAATGATTGCTGGACATGGGCACCGGCGAACCCCGTGACCCAAAATGGAAGAAGCGGGTAAAAGATAATGGATGGATGGATGGATGCATAGACAGGGAACTGATTCTGAACTGATTGTGTTCAAAACTTGTAAAACATTTTCTTGTGCTTTAATGATCACACAACTCATCTTTATGCTTTGATTTCCAGAATGCAACAAAAGCCTTTAAAAGTGAACCCAGCATCAAGGTTCCGGCAGAAGAACCACTGTCCATTCACTCAAAACTGGAGGAGCCCGTTTCCCCAGAAAACATTCCATCACCCAGCAGAGAAATGTCCAGGAAGAAAATCTCCAAGTCCCCCAAAATGCCCAAGCCTCCAAAGGTACCCAAAGTCAAAGAGAGAGAAAAGAAAATTGCAACAAAACCCAAGGAATTATCACCACCTCGAAAACCTTCTAGCTTTGCAGCTCTCGAGTCCCATGCAAAAGACATCTTGAGTAAAATGGAGCAGCCAAAAAAGACAAAGGTAAGCAGAGATACATTTGACCAATTATCAAAATATTTTGAACCTCACTGACATTAGTCAGCTTCTGACATCTAAAGACATACGTAGCTTATTAAATGATTCCATGGAAATAGTAAAAAAAGTGTATTTATGTTTATATACTAGGGCTGGGCCATATCATATCGTTCACGATAATACTGGTAAAAAAAACTTGCCCGGGTTAAAATAAATGATATCATGATATTTTAATTTCATGACGTAATACGTCAGGGCGCCCCGCCCCGCCTCGTTAACGGAACTGTGCGCGCCGAACAACCAAATGGAACTGCGCACCCCCCCTCCACCTGTCGCTAGTGTAATGCTAATAAGTTGCGCGCAATACTAGCTAGCTAAAAGCTAAAAACAAACAGTGTGCGGCTCAACTGTCTTTTCTGTGTTTTCTCCCACAAATCAAAAATAAGTATCAAAAACTACAGCCAAAGTGGTTCATGCTCAATCATCCAGGTAAAACCACTTTGAACCACTTTGGCTGTGGCAGCTTGGAGGAGACGACGGGAGAGAGGACAGCCCCCAGAAACCATCTTATCACCAGCAAACTGGTTTGTCCACTGTACGAGTGCACTGCTTAGTGGGGAAAACACTTTGTTTGTGACTTCTCAGACTGATGAAGCTCTTTGGATGGAGGGTGAAACGTCCCTCAACAAAAAAATTAACTGTCCAGATGACCTGACTAAACATTTTGGATAATTTAGATATATATACACATTGTGTACCTTGCAACATATAACTTCGTAGTTCAGTTACTGTACGTCTGTGAAAGTTAATTTAGTGATCAGTAACTCCGTCTAATCTCAGTTCTGCCACATGAGTCTCAGCTAGGCCAACACGCTGAGAGTAGGGAGAGGCAGGTGAAGAATTTTCACTCTTTATCATCAAAACACTGAATCAGACAGTCACAACATATCAGATGGTGAAAAGTCATTATGGCATCCACAAGCTGAATCAACAGTTGGGCGACCTGTCAGATAGAAAACACACCAGTCCAGTAATGAAGATGTTGGGAAGAGGTTTGAACCTGGCTGCATCATCAGACTGTGTTCCAGTGGTGACGTTCCAGTAACACCATCATCATACACATGAACAGATGTAGTTTCAATACTTAACACTCGTGCTGTTTCAGCTTTTTTGGTATTTTACGGTGTCTTATAATGCATGCTGGTGATTTCATGTTTGGTTCATAACAACAACAACAACAAAGGAACAATGATTGTTTCTCTGACTTCAAGATAACCTTTAGTCTGTTGCACAATAGTTCATCTTGACTGGGCTTTTCTCTTACCAGTTGCATTTGTCCTTTACGCCTTTGTTTTTCCAGGCCGTTAAAAACGTCACAAGTTTACCAGAGAAGGAAATATCGAAGCAGAACAACACGGGCAAGTTTGAAATGAGAGAACAGAATAAAAATAAGAACGAAGCAAAGTGGAAGTATAAGGTAAGTTCTTTTCTGCTGTCTTTGACTTTGTGGTTTCAGACTAATGACTGGGTGCTATGAGCCAACATAAATACAATCACATTGTGTTTAAAGCTGAAACAGACTTAAGTCTGATCCTGAACTAAAAACACCCACTTCACATCAAAGCAGTGCTACAAAATAAAATGGCCCAAGTCCCATGTTTGTGGTCTCAGCTCGTTCCCACTCTTGTAGTTTAATTGTTGTAATTAAGCTGCATCTTCATCCATAGCGTTCCATTTAAGTATTTACATATGTCCTCTTATAGAAAAAGGCTCTGCTGTATAAGGGTTACTGAATGAAATAACTGGAGGAGCTTCAGGGAACAAAACAGGAAATGTGTCAGTTGAAAGATGCAGGCGTCACTTTTCTGAAGTCGGTGCCAAAGAGCTGTGGAATGTCTGAAGCCTCTTCAAGGAACTGCTCCTTCACACCGGGGCAAACATTTACAAATGGAGAAAAGACCTATGTGTTCGCCAAGGCCACCTGAAACCATCTATCCTCTGTAAATCATGGTTCATGTAAATAACATACCATGATGATCATGTAATGTTCCTTCCATGTCCCACTTATTAGGACTGTAAAGCATGTTCCTGTCCCATACCAAACTGGAATGGTCCCAGGACATGCTGTGTGCCATATTTCTGTCATTTAAGGAAGAACGTTGTTGCAGTAAATACTCCAGGCGTGTATCTACAGTGCCTTGAAAATGTCTTAGACCTTTCCAGAGTTTGTGACATTACAACCACAAACTTCACAGTTTTAGGGTTTTTATGTGAAATACCAACACAAAGCAGTGCATAACTAAGGTGGAAGGAAAAAGATGCACGTTTTTAACACTTCTTACAACTAAAACTTTGAAATGTGGCATATATTCACTCTTTTTACTCGGACACCCCGGATTAAAATCTATTGCTACATTCAGAAGTCACCTGATTAGAAAATAGATTTGAAGATTGTTTTATTTGTTGCCAGGTAGATGTACAACTGTGTCATGCAGCGAGACATGGGAACTAGTTTAAATCCAGAGAAGTGAGATATTAGTAAAGGGATCTATTAAAGAGTCCAGCAGCAGAAAGGGAAACAATGATTCTGTGTATCCTGATGCACGCTCAATAATCCAGGTAGAAAAATGTAAAAAAGTTAAGTCTGGTCATCTGGTCACAGATGGGTCTACACTCATCTCCAGGTCAGAGGTCACTCTTTCAGGGATGAAGATGTTCACATCCTGGACAGAGAGGAACGATGGTTTGAGAGAGGAGTAAAGGAGGCCATCTTTGTGAAAATAAACCGTCCATCATTAAACAGGGGCGGAGCCTCCAGGTTCAACTGTCCCCCTCTTACAATGCTGTGATTGCTAGTATCACTCAGCCCTCTGTGAGTAGTAAACAGCCATCAGGTGCTAATGATCCATTGTTATGCTGATGGTCCTTCTTGAGCATGTGATCAGCTGGTTTTGGTTGTCAGCAGCGAAACTGGTTGATCCACTCTGAGAAGGTGCTATTTATAAGGCTGAGTTTGTTGCAGCTCCTCAGACTGAAGAAGTCTTCTGGATGAAAGATGAAACATTTCAACAAGAAGAATCTGTCCAGAGGACCTCACTTAACTTTTTAAATGATTCTGTGTCCTGTGGTTTTGGTTCTAATGGCCATCCACCTCTTGCCAGAATGAAACAGTTTATGTCTTGGATTATTAGTAATTCATTTAGAACCACTGTAAACATCGTGAGACTTTCTGGAGACTCCCCTATGAATGTTGTTCACCAACAAGTCATAGCCCAGTGGAACTACCTCAAGCAACATGCAGAGTATGAGAGGTGAAGAAGAAGAGATAGCAGATAGAAGAATAGAGTAGATGGAGGCAAGTGAAGGGAGGGGTTACTGAAGGAGACCTGCAGGAGTGAGTTGGAAGGTTTACAAGATGGTAGGGAGCTCTCATCTGATGTTTTGTTTACAGACGTGTTTCTAACAAAAAGACAAGAGGAAGAGCTGAAGGCGGCAGATGTTACGATGCTCAGACCTCCATCAGTTTACACCTAAAAGGACAGGATTCGAAATCAGAGACATCTTAGAACTGTAAACAAAGTGAAAGAGGCAAATATGAGATGGTTTGGACACGTAGGCGTTGCAACAATTATATGTGAAGGGGACGTGTGTGTCGCCCCCCATTTAAAACTTTTTTAATTTGGACCCCCCCACACATTTACCGTGAAATATTAGTTCACCCAACACTGTTTATATTTCTTTGTGAACTAATCCATTCCACTTGATTAATAGGAGAATACTCAAACCAGTAAAAGTCCGCTCCAGGTTTTCCTGTTACCTCCAAGTCACCACATGCAGTGCAGTGTGTGCAGGGCGTGTTCCGGAGCACAGGGCGTGTCCCGGTGTGCAGGGCGTGTCCCGGTGTGCAGGGCGTG